GGTGGCAAGCAAACCGTTAGAATGTCGAAACAGTAGAAGGAAGAACAATGCACCTAATTGAAATGGCAGGGTAATTTGAAAAATAAAATTGAGTTGCTGCAAATTCCAAATTCCAGAATAAAAATGTTTATACTCGCTCAAATGCAGATTGATCGCAGCTTTGAATAATTATCAGACTAAAAAATACGTGAACACCAACAATACATTTGCTATGCACAGAACAAGCACCGCCTACACATCTCGATTATTTTGGGCAAGGAAATGCAGGACATAATCAGTCTGATACTTTTCTTAAGTGATTTTGTTATTGAACAGAACTTACAAAACCCCACACTAAGCCAAGCCACCAAATGCAAAACCAGTGTTAAAATATCATGGACAATATTCTTCAGAAAATTTAAAACACATTAACGAACGGAGAAGCATGCTTGAGGAAATGAAGGGGTTAAACGATTCTGCTACTCAGTATCTTTTTCCTCCCCTCGAAGAAATTAATTTATCACCAAGATCAATTCAAAATGTAACATTCCTGATTCACTTTGGCAGAAACTAGAGCCTGAAAAACCATGACAATTAAAATAAAGATGGAAAAATGCACTTGCATCTGGAATTATGAAATATAAACATGTAATGATATTTATCTGTATACTGAGGGTAATCTTATTATCTGTCTACTTAGGTCTATGACAATTTTGGCAGAGAGGCCACCCATATCTGGCAAAGATAAATTCCATATGCTCTGTAGAGTTATCGCATATTTCCCATAAATAATGTATACAATAGACTGTAAATAAATCGTACATTTATCTGAACTGCTCAAGAGTGAAGGGCAGGGTGGCTACTCATGAGACAAAGTCTCCTATGAATGAAGAATTTCAAATAAAGGTACCTTTAATGGTGAGTTAGTTATCACAAAGCTCTTAAACTACCACATTCTTAAGTGGGGGTTTTAACATCACTCCAGATCTGGTGGGAACTTTCAAGTAAATGTTCCAACTGAACCCCAAATGCCCCATCTCATGTTGCTGCTAAAATGTCTATTCTGATTGTACCACCATAGCTAATAGCATCTTACTTATAGGCTGCGATTTTTTTAATTTTCTCTACACTACTGGTTTTTATGATCAATGAAATAACTAGATTTAAAATGTCATGTAGAGTTCTTGCCCCATGAAACACACGTGTGTTTTTTTCTTCAGTGTAAAAAAACTTTTAACACTGTAGTAAACAGAAAGGAAGACTACCTTGACAAAAGAAAAACAGAAAACAAAAAGAGCCCACCTGCACTAGTTTGCTAGGACTTTACATTGGAAAAATTGCTAGTCCCTCCCCACAGAGTATCCCCCTTTTTAAGCCCTACAGGCACACAAATTATTTCCATTTCTTCCAAATAGTGTACATCTGCCTTTATAACCTCAGACACCGTACACCATTTAGCTGGAAATTAAGTTTTCAGATCGCTAAGGAATAGTCCCTGAATAACAGAAAACACTATAGGTCACAGTTAATTATAGCTTGTCTATCAAATTAAGTTAATGTTCGAGAACACAGCCAAAGAGTTATAAAGACATTAAGAGGAGTTTTATTGTCGAAGGAATTCTTATTCCCTCAGCTTCTAATATTTTTAAAAGAAGAGAGATAAGTAAGTCTTTTACAAGCTTGGATGGGATGAGAAAACTCTGGGTTTACATCGAATTGTTCCCTTCCTTGTCCTTTGATGACTATAGTGATTTCATTAGAAACTTCATTTTCCAGAGTTTCATAATAGTCATAAACACACTACACTTTAAAGAGTTTCTACGGGACACAGTGTGAATGCAAATGCAGGCTAAAATGCAAATCATGGAGGTCTGGGACCAGATCGGACTCTCAGTAAGGCCACAGCCACAGAGAACAAACGGAGGCCTTGAGAGGGCAGCCAGAAAGGGGCTGATAGGAATCTCTGCACCAAGCATTCGATGCCCTGGGGGGCAAACAAGAACAACAGTTTTTAGTTTTACAAGTTACAAGGCACAGGTTGGGAATATTTGATAACTTTGGTCTCCACTCATTCCCATTCGAAAGTGAGTAACATTTTCATCTTTGCAGGAAAATAAACCCACGTGGTGCAGAATGACCCACCAGATACTCAAATAGGGAAATGAGACCTAGCGAAGGAGTTCAGGAGCAGATCTCAGGCACAGGAGGCTTACCACGCAGTGGGAAAGGGGTGAGCGGAAAAAGAAAGAGCTGCACTTCTGCCTTCCTAAATAATAACCAACAAGCCAGCTATTTATAATGAATGAATAATAAACAGGCTATCGTTTCGCGTGGCGAAGAATAAGGGAAAGATATACAGGAATGGGAATTCACCAGCAACAAAAATTAATTCCAAGTTAGCATCTATTATCAGGTATAATTCTAATATCACTCAAAATGTTACTTATTTACCGACTGCTATCATCTACATGAGTCAAAATAATGTATATTTCAATCCATTGTAAAACTGAAGACTTTGTATTGTGTCTGAATGATAAAAAGTAGCAAGACTATAAAATGTTGCTTAAATTTGTTAAATTCATAAAAAGTGGTGATTTTAAAGTATTACTTAGTAAACTTATTAGTAGTAATGTTATTTCCTTTCTGTGGAAAAATACAGTTTCATTTAAGTTTTTAAATAACCCATAACATTTCATAATCCTGGTTCTTTACCTCATGATCATAAATCCTATTAATTGTAAATAGAGTCATGAAAAGTATAAAGGGAAGAATCAATTATAGAAATGTATTTTGAGGGTTAATGTAAAATTTATTTTCACAACTTATTTATTTACCCTCCATCCGTTTATAGTAGTGCACGTGTCATGGAAAAGCTGTAACATGCTTATGGCACATCTTAAAGAGAGTTGATGACTTAGTTCTGGTTATAATTTGTATTTAACTGTATATACTCATGATACCAATAAACAACAGGTGTATAATTCAATAAATGTGGAAATAAGTGTATTATATACCAGAGAATTACTCTTTATGGTATATTTTAGGAATCCTGAACCAAGAAGTAGAGAAATATAGAATAATTTCAAAAGATTTGCACTGCGGTGTTTTCCTTTAACAAGAACATATTTCCTAGATTAAGAAATGCTTTTTGGAAAGAGTGTTCTGAGAGAGTCTAGTAAAGTGTTGCCAATCGGTTTAATTCTGCACACATGAATGCATTAAACTGACTGAACTTGGATTCTAGTGACAAATATTTAAATGGATATATTCGTGTGTATTTCACATGGTATCTTTTATACCATTTATTAAAATGTCAAATTTATAAGTGTGAGGAATCCAGCAATTGCCCAATACAGGTATACTTCTTGGAGAGGTTAAGACTCCCAAAAGCTTTCCCAAATTTCTATAATCCTGAAGTCACGGCACATTAAATTAAGGATAGCGTGAAGAAACCCTTTTATCTTTTACACTGCATACACATACTCGTCCGCTTGAATTTTTCAAATCTGATTTTATACACGCAGGGTTCATTTACAAATAGTAATAGTAAACTATCCAAACTTTTACTGGATCCCAAAAGTCAAAATTTGAAATTGTTACTAAAATTCAAATGGGGAGGCAGGATTTTATGCCATAGAGCCTAACTTTTGAAACTTATTATCCTGACATTTCCTGATGAGTAAGAACACCAAGACCTACATGATTTACAACAGCGTTGTTTTACTCGGGATTTTGAAAAGCTTTAAGTCTAACATCTGCACAACTGTCAGATATACTGTCACATGCCTTCTATTTTTATTTCTTTATTTGTAAAAGAATACTTTCCCATAGTTTTGATGTAATTTTAAATATTAATTTTTGCATTAAGGAGAAATGGTAAAAAATTTTTTTGTTTCATAACATAAATTTAAGTACTACTTTCATACAAATATGACAGACATCATAATCCAAAAAAGGCCACATAAAATGCTACAGTTGCAAACATTTAAGACTGTGTAACAAAAATGATTGAGAATGGTATCAGTCTACTCTCCTTCAACTGTCTCCATGACAGTGAAGTCAAATAACGTTGAATTATAGGCCGTCTTAGAGGAAGTCTTATTTCGTGCCCAGTTTTGATTGTCTCCCTGCAAGTCCCTATAGGAATTTGGCTGAACGCCAACTTTCCTTTAAAAGTTTCTGTATACATACTTGGGTTGTGTTTGATGATTAAATGATCATTTATTAAAACTTTAGCATTCCACATTTGTTTGACATATTTACGTTTCAGAAGAAAATATTGCTATTGCAATGGAAAGCATAACATTACCAATATGAAAATACTTCATTTGAATTCATGTTGACAGTATTTTCATTTATGACAAGTGTCTTAATATGACTTGTTATGCATTCTTCACAGTTTCTCCAACTCCACCTGCGAGGGAAGGTAAACTCGTAACAGTAGGCCCCTCGTAATACTTTAGCCTATCTGCTTGGCCTTAATAAACCTAAGTTTCTACTGTCGGGCCACAAATAGTCTTTGTTTTTAAGAGTATGGAGTTTTACTGCATAATTTTCCCTCTGTCACCCAGCAACAGCTGTGTTTTAAATCTCTGGGACTATGACAAACATTTTAACATTTAAACATACGAGTGTTTGAAAACATGATGATTTAAAATTTGTTTATTTTCAAAGTTGGACAATTATAGCATGATACTTCAGTTACTTTTCTGAAAGCAGGGCCCATATTTTAAGCCTCTTTTTCTTCCCCTTCCTTCCCTTCTTCCTCTACTATTTAAGCTTCTGCATGTTTTCTAATAACAGTCTCTAGCTTAGGACCGATAGCGACAGTCCACACAACCACTCTATGTATTTCCAAATCGTGAGCGGTGGAGTCATTCTGGAGAGAGAAGGATTGCTATTTGAGTGACCTATTGCCACAGAGCTAGTTAAATCACTGAACAATAGTTACTGTTATGGGGCTTTACTTTGTACAAAGTAGCATTAGTATCATTGCTTTCCATTAAGCAAGGAACTTTCACTGGGGACTGAGAGACAGAGAGACAGAGAGACAGAGACAGAGACAGACAGAGAGAGAGAGAGAGAGAGAGAGAGAGAGAGAGAGGGGCGCTCTGAAAAGGGAATAACTTTTGTTGTATTAGCATCGAGACTTTGAGACATTTAACAATGTAATTGACCTCAACCTGTCTGTGTATACTCTGTACTTTTTTTTTTCTAAAATGTTTTTAAGAGCCCCTATTAAGAATCAATACTTCCCTACTCTGAAATTCACACATAAATACACACTAAAAGGCAATCAGAAAGTAATAATAAAAACACACCAGGTAAACAACTAACTTTTAATTCAAAGGATTCTAAGCAATAAAGGGCCTAGAATGAACATCCCAATTAGCCAGTGTAGTGACAAGCAGTCAACACCTTATTATTTAATCATTAAAGAGAATCTTGCCATAATTTCCCTTTGACATATTTCAAAAAAGAAATTAAGAGTGCACCACATGACCCACAACAACAATCAAAAGGAAAGGTAGATAATTCTAAGACCCCACTGCTTGCAAGGACTGTGGACTGAGAGGTTCCAGGACTAAGGCATTAAGTGGGAACTTATGAAGTATGTACAATTTAAATAAGATGTATCCAAGTGTAAGCATTTAGAAACAAACTACCTGACAATGGGACCATTTTCCTGTTTCTTGATGTTTGTGTCCCATTTTCTTATTGGATAAAAATAAATCGCCTTCATTTCTAGTATTAGCAAATATCCGAAGGCCTTATCTTCCCACCTCCCCCACCAGAACAGCAGACCCAATTCATCAAGGGCATTAGGCTGTCCCTTGCCCTTCCATCCCCATCACTGACTATAAACACCTCTCCAAAGACAAAGCCTCAATCTCTGTTAGATGCATCTCATCCTGCTTTGCAGGGAGGGACTGTTTTCAGTCAAGTACAAGTTCAGTTCTAAGAATTTTTTATTTTAAACTATGCTTCGGAAACAACATTCCGGACTTTTAAAATAAAACAATCGCCACCAGGCTTCCCTGGCCCACTTGGGAAGCAAAGCTCACTGGCCCAGGCTGCCCTAGATATCTGAGGCCGGGAGGGCTGGCCTCTCCAGCCTGGGCCTCACGGCCCCGCAGCCGCCCTCCCTCCCCTGGGAAGCTCACCAGCACTTGGCATTTAACCTGCCTGGCGAGCGTGGCTTTCTGGTTCCATCTCTGAGAGCCACATTACTTCTCCCTAGATGCCAGGGACAAATCTGGATTAACATGCAACAGGGAGCCCGGTGCAGCCTGGCAGCCCTACGCCCAAGAGCTGTTAAATGCAGATTCAGCCGAGGACCCCCCGGAGAGCTGCTGTTGAATAAAAATTGTAATCCAAAGGGACCATTTCTTTGCCTCCCGCTGCTAGTGGGAGAACCCGGGCTGGTGCGCCGCTCGGCCCAGCTAGTCCCCGCTCCCTGCGAGCAGGCGTGGCCACCGGGGAGGCCGCCTCAGGGGCCCAGAGACCTTTCGCTCCTTTCTCCACTCTCTCCCCACCCAGCCTTGGAGTGGAAAATGCTTAGATCCAAGGAGTGGCGAGCAACATACAGCCCAGGGAAGGCTTCATTCGACGGCTCCTGTTTGGAGTGCGTCCTGGAGTCTGTCCGCTGGGCGGCCAGGCTCTGACGCGCCTAACCCCTCTGGGAGACCCCAATTCCACCCTGGATCCCCAAACGCGAGCCCCTTCTCCCCTCGGACCCGCGTCCTCCACAGCCCACTAGGCTCACCCTCGCCTTAACGCCTTGCACCGGGGTCCCTCTCTACACCCACTGCCCAGTCGCAGCCCGGCTCTCCCCCCAGGCCGAGGTCCGGAAAGCCCCAGGACCCGGGTCCTCGGGCGTCGGGAGCGCCCGTGCCGAGGCCGCGAACGTGGCCGTCGGGAGAGGGCGCCCGGGAGGGCTGCGCGCGCGGGGACGTCGGGGTCTGAGTGGGAACGAGGGGGGGGACGGAAGGGGGGTCGGGATCACAGCTTCTACTGGGGTCTCAGTCGGATAAAAATGATTTTAAAAAAACAACACCACCCAACAACACTACAAGGCCAAATGGATTTCCACAGACTTAGCCTTCTGGGAAACCGGCTGGTATCAAAGTCGTCGGTCCCAGGTCCCTGCGCGGGTGGCAGCCTTCACGCCCTCCGAGGAAAAAAGTAAAATAAAATAAACCGTGCCGCCAGCAGGCCCTAGAGACAGAGGGGTTAATGAGCTAACGAGGCCCAGCGCCCCGCCACACCTGAAGCGTGCCCGTCCCGGAGCGCACCCTCTGCGGGGCTCCAACTGGCTGGGCCGCCTCCGCGGGCAGGTGGCGAGCCGTCCTTCCGGGTCCTGGTCCCAAGGGCGCCGCGCCGGGGGTCCAGCGCCCCCTGGGACCAGAGAGCTAGCTCCAGCCGGGAAAACCGGCGCCCACCGGGCGACCTAGTGCCTTGTCTCCCGCTCCCCGCCTCCCAACCTGGGGACCTACTCGGCTTCCGAGGCACGGTCCTCGTGCGCCCGCGTTCTGCGCTCCCCGCTCCAAAGGGAGCCCAGGCACACTCGCTCCTGGCTCCCGGGAAGCGGTCAATTCGAAAGAACAAAACTTGGTTTGCTGCCCTCCAACCAAGTGAGGCAGGCGAGCCCGCGGGGGTCTCGCGAGCGCGCCCCACGCGCGCAGGCCAAGAGCGCCACCAGCTCAGCCGAAGCTGCGAAGCCCCCTCACCTCGTAAGCAGCGGGGTGGGAGGCACGCTTCTCATTTTATAGGTGGGGAAGGAGATCAAAATGCGTATTTTTTACCCAAGAGACCTGCCTGCCAATCTGCATATTGCAAGTTAAGGTAACTGGGCAACTAAAGTTTACGGAAGGAGTAAGGGGAAGAGCTCAGGGTGGCATATCAATCTTGTATCCCCCCAAAATACCCCATAACTTTGGTCCCTTATCTTTGACTTTAATAAAATAATGATGCGTTCAGAAAATGGGGTATAAATCTTCATTTTGGAGGCAATTAAAGTGTTGATTTCATTCATGCCCCTAAGCGATTCTTGTAATTTGCTCAAATAGCTTTATGTACCCAGCACTAGAAGCTTTTAGAATCCCATTTTCTAGTTAGGCTTGTTGGATTACAATTTTTATTCAACGGCAGCTACCGGAGGGTTCCTCAGCGGAATCTGCATTTAACAGCTGGGGGGTGAGGGCCNGCGCTGCACCGGGACCGCTCAGGTGGCTGTTCCGTGCCCTCGTCTACACCGTCGAAAGTTTGCAACTTGCCAAAGAATAGTAAGGACCCGGCGCGCTGGCGCTTTTCAAAGCTCAGCTCTGCCTGCCCTGCACTCCTCCTGGGGAAGGGAGGATTCCTCCTCTGTCGCAGAGTTCACCAGATAAGTCAAAGCTGGGAATTTATTTTAAAGGGGGGGCGACGTTTAGAGAAGAAAACTTTAGGGTGACACCAAGACCGAGAAGTGGGTCACTCGGGCAAGGACGCCGCAAGACAGCCGCTGGTCAGCAGCGATCAGGGCAGAGCCTGCAAGGAAAGCTGCTCGACTGGCGGTCCTTTGGCTTAACAAAGGCAGGCTGATCCCCC